ATCGATGCTCTGTGACATCAGCCTTTTCTAACTGAGTCTTGCGCTCTTTAAACCAGTGAGGAGAGCACACAAAAATACAAATACAGAAGAAAAAAACAAAACTATTCTCCACTGGGCAGAAAAACTGTGGGACCACATCGACCAGTCGGAAGCTTTATTACAAAAATGTGTTTTCAGGGCTTTTAGCTGCACACATTATGGCAATAGAGGAGGTTAGAGGATGTTTGTTTACAGCCAGAATTTTTAATATATTATGTTGGGTTTATATGCAGTCTTGTGGGCAGAAATGTTAATCATAAACTCCCCTTTTTTAATGAAATGAGCTAGGAAGTCCACCATTGTCATAGGACCATTATCAGCCCAACTTACACCTCCTCTACGTCTAGATCTTTAAATAGGTTGCCAACAAGCAACAAAGACCAATCAGCATGAAGGAAGCCAGATACAGAAGGTGTTTTCAATTGACTCATCAGCTAATTGTGGCCAATAGGCCAACAAGGGTGTCTGAATAAATATATAGACAACACATGTATGCTTACACACATGCATGTCCTATGTGCAAAGCATTTATATTTATTTTTACACTTTTTGAATATGAAATAAATACATTTGAAGAGGCTTATTTCTTTGTCAGTGTCAGTGTTTTTGTTAAGTCACACACACCTGATACCGCTTTTCGATGAACCTGCTGAGAAAGCAAACATTTCCACATCCCTTATTGCGAATGTTCATGTGTAACAGCAGGTTTACACAAAGGTCAATATAAAAATAACACGCTGTTTGGATTTACACTGCCCTTGTTTCCGTGGGATGTGATTACTGCAGCGGCCTGCATGTTGCTTGCCTGAAATACTGTTGCTTAACAAAAATCCTCACACATCAGCATATAGCTTCACTTTAATGTCACATGGGTAATTTTAAATGTCTGCTATGACGTCTCATCGCTCAGCAGGTGAGCTGACCAAAAGGTGCAACCGCCCCAGACCTTTATTGTCATGGTTAACACTACACTATACCAGAAAAAAAAAAGAGTCTGAAACAAAGCCTGTGTGTTTGTGTGGTTGGATGGTTGACATGCAGCCATGATACTGACTCAAAGGTCAGTAGAGATTAAGGGAACAGGGGAGAGAAAAAGGGGAGAAAAGGTCTGGTTTCACATGCAGGTGGCTGTCAAGGATGTTTACCTAGAGACCCATATCTCTTCTCTCTCCCAAATTAGAAATGAACAAAAGTTTAGTTCAGTTCACTCTGACAGACGGCCTGATATCAAGTGGCGACCCTGACTATTCAAACAGGCTCTATGTTATTATGTCTACCTCTGTCTTCATATGGGATTTCACTCTTGCTTTTATTGGGGCTGGGAGAAGTGCTCTGCAAGTCAAACATGGATCAAGTACTTTCAAAATAAGTCAGTGCCTGAGTCTAAATATAAAACCATGTGTTTAAAGATGGAATTTAAAATGTCAGAGATAAATATTACATAATGAATGAATCTGTTTTTGATTGTGAAAGACCCAAAATAACTTAAGACAACATTATCCTCTTTAAAATGATATACATTTTTACAATGACAGTGAAATATTTGGCTCCATTTCCACAAAATTCCATTCTGCCCTTTTATGGGGGTTTAGTGCAGGTAGATGCTTTTTTCTTGACTTCAGTGGGGATATAAAACAGGGCTGCAGGGTGCAGGCAGGTATGCGTACATCCTGTACCCTAAACCTTTCTCAGACCTGTTCAAGACAGCCATAAAAACATGATATGAACCTACAGTAGTGACATCAAACACGGCTTAAAACCATTTTGTGGTGAAAGGCCTGCGGCTGACTTCTCATGCTAACTGCCAGAGATGTGTATCACCTCAGCTGGAGCCGCCTCGGCGCAATTTTCACGGTCCTGATTTTAGATCTCATTTTGGGGAAATACTTCACGTTAAAAATGATGTTTAACTGTTTCAGCAAACTGCTTTAGGATCTACCTGTGGTACATGCTGTTCTGGTAATGTTGGTTTTCGGAGCCACAGCCAAAGTGCAGCCTTCCAGCAGTCGATTTTACTGGACGGCTAAATGCAGCTGCGTCCTGGGAATGTCCCTGAAGCTGAAAGTTGTTCTGGGAGATTCCCACAAGCCAACAAGGGCAATTCCCCGACTTATTTATCTGTTTTGTGCTGAGGCCGAATTACAATGCTCCCACAGCAAAGGGATGAATCTATAAAAAAAAAAACACAAGAGTCCAGTTTCCTGAAGTTAAGGTCATCTTTTCCCAGCAGCATTCAATAAAACAAAGAGTGTTTAGAATTTGGGAAAGTGCGGCTGCAGAGTCATGTCTTTTCAACAAGAGTGATATGATTACTTGGCCACATGTTTTTCAAAGTTTTTATGAATGAATTCCAGGCCAGTCCATGTGTGTAGGAGTGAGAGGATGTTAACTGTGCACTAAAACTATACCATTCTGACTGTGCAAACCCAGATATTTTGGGGTTTTTTATAGCACAAAAATGTTTTTTCTTTGTTTAGACAGCTGCATAATCAGATCTGGGAAACCCAGATGTTAGTGAAGCTTTGGGTTAAGTGAGTTTTAATGAGGGTTTAATTCTGGGTAATTCTGGTCATTTAATTCAGGGGAGAAAATTATAGACAATGTTCGGAAAAAGGTGATATTGCAACTAAAACCTTGACTGTGTTGTGGAAATAGTAATATTAATGGAGTAAAAATAAGGAAAAGCCCAATTACTCTATTGGCAGATTAATCCAAGAGAGAGACTTTCTATCTCTAACAAAAAAAAGACACACATGTGAATGTAAAATAATATACTTTATTATGACCATACATTTCTCAGGATCAATACAAAGCACTTTTCTGTTTTGTTTAGTGATGTGACATTTTTCTCTCCAAAGGACAAAGAGGATAAGACAATAAGACTAGCCATATGTAGATGCAGGTGGTTTGCTGATATATTCAGTGTGACAGAGAGGTGAGAAGGTGAGAGGATGCTAAAACAGACAGGAATGCCTGAAGAGTGAATTACTGAATGTGTAAAACCAGACACAGCTGAGGAAAACTACAGGAAGAGTGTATTTTTAGAAGGCTTCCTCATAAAAACATCTCAGTAAAATTGGATCTTTGAAGAGTTTGTAGGCAGAAATACACATAAGCATCCGACGAATTAAATCGCAATGAGATCAAACTGCAGGTCATGCTCTGCGTTGGTTTCCTCACTGTAAAATGAGGCCCTGGTTCTTTTTGTGTTGGCCGGGCAGACAGATGGTTTGAAAGAAACCCCGCTGAAACTCACTTTCACTGGACACGCTCAGACTGACAGCAGCAGCAGCCACAGCTTCACCATGAAGCAGCAGGACCATGAACAGACAGCATGGAGGAGGCCGGGGCGTGAAAAATACTATATTTTTAGGGGCTTTAATGGGTTTATCTATGCCAGGGACAGTTACAGAGAGGGACAGCAAAGGGGGGAAGAAAGGGGATGAGCCTTGGTCACCATGTGAGCTACCAGGGCGCCCCTTAAAATCAGTCTCTGTAAATTCTGCAAATAGGTTTCACTTGTCAGTTCAGTTATTGCATCAGCGCGGCACTCTTCTAGAAAATAAGTCTGAGTCAATTCTAGAAAGATGCTAATTTGGTACTGAAACTGAAAATGTCCACTTGTCATATTTAGATTATTAAAATAAGACTTTTTGAGATGGAGAACTGAGCAATGTCTTCCTTTAAGTCCTCTGGAGAAAAGCCTAACCAATGCAGTCTTCTGTCTACTGGATGAACAGGGTGACGAACAAACAAGCATACATCGCAAAATAAGTCTTTTTACACATAAATATCAAATACAAAGGCAGATGAGACAGAGCCTTGTTTATGTCAGTAAAGCTTTTGACCATGCAACGTTCAGTACCTTAAAAAAAAAAAAAACACACGCCAAAAATCTTGAACACAGCTTAGTCCACCAGAGACACAAAACAATGTCAAATATATACACAATACAATAAAAATAACAATATCACTTTTTCTGCAAGAGCACGATTTTATCATATATTTTACAGCTAAAGTTGTACCATTAGTCCAGCACATTAAGATGTGTACAGGTAGCTTGAAGGGAGAAAAAGCGACTATCACTACTAGTCAACACTACGAGGTCATCAGAAGTATTTAAATACGGCATTGAAATAGAAGCTGTAAAAATAATATACTCCGAATACATTTATATAATTATATACATATACATATAGGTTAAATACTGATCATTCTGAATCCCTGGATTGCTGAAAACGTCCTTTGTCGATTTAGGCAGCTAGCTAAGTCGTACTAACTGAGGCCCTCCACTTGTTTCCACTGCTGCTCTGAAAATTGTGCTTCACATTCGGGCTATTTCACGGTTTTGCCAGAAGCTGGGAGAAGCAGGAAGGTTGGAGGTTTTTAAAGGAATAGTTCGACATCTTTAGAATATTTGATTTTTTTTTCTGAGAGTTAGATAAGAAGATTGATACCACTCTTTAATCTTAGTGTACCATAAAGACCGTGTATAACCGCACGGATTAAACAAACATGATAGATTGTGTTCATTTGTGAGCTTAAAAGGTTCTGGTAACTTGTTTCGTTTGTTTGTTCTAGCTTAACATTTATCATACAGACAGGAAAGTGGAATCAATCTCATCTAATTCTCAACAAGAAAGTGAATCAAGCAATCTTCCCAAAATGTTGGACTATGAATATGAAACACATTTTCTCTGTTTATAGTTGCCTGCTTAATCAAATAAATCTCTACTGTACAGCTTTCTGTGAACAGAGATAAGAGTGTTATTACCCTTATCTTGCATCCAGTTCTGACAGGTGTGTGTATACCTGTAGATGGGTGTCTTAACATATTGGACAATGCAGGAAGTAAATACATTTCAAGCCATACTCTTTATTTGCTTAATCTTTAAGAGGAGGTTTCAGTGCTGTTTTCCCCCTCAAATTCAGTCCATATATTCTTTTTAACTGCCTGAACTATACATGACCAAATCTACTGCCTGCCTCATAAGTGCATTATTGTTGTACAACATTTAGTGTTTCATACCTCAATAGAAAAGCTCTCTGCTGCCTTAAAAAGGAAATCCACCCTCAAAAAGAACGTACACATGTTCCTCCTATGATCTCGGTTTGTGTAACTTTGTTTTCCCATTCAGCATTAGAGACTAATGTTCTGCGGTTCAATAAAATATTGGAACATTTCTTCCACTGCCAAAAGTAATAGAGGGCCTCCCTTAACTGGAGAACTGACAGGATGCTTTAGTTTTCTTAGCACATTTTAATTTTTTTTTTATTTAATTACCTAATTACATATTTTTGTTGGAGACCAATTCTTAATTGAAAGGCCTAATGCATCCCAGATTTTTTCCTACCACTGTATCGATGTGGAAGTGTCCAATGTCTAAAATGCTGCTTCAGAAGCTTGCCAAAAAAATACTTGGAAGCACTGGGATTTTCTGCTATGAAAATGGTCAATCATCAGTAACTTACACTACGAATGTCGGCATCAGTATCACCGATTAAAAGCTTGCATGGGAAGTGCCCCATAGCACCCAGGGTGGTTTCGTACCTATTTGTATTTCTATACTGTAGCCTTTTTCAATGTAAAAACAACTCTTCATAACATCATAGAGGTTATCGTGTTGGTTGCCAACACCGTATCAAGATCATACGAGGGGAGACATTTTATTTCAGAGCGGATTTTCCTCTTGACGTACCACCTTCACACAATTAAGGCACCTTTTAAACCCCTGAGGGGTCAATGGGTTCTTCTAATAAGAAGAGAAGCAACAATAACAACATGGAACACAGAACCGGACTGAAACAAAACCAACAACAACAACATAAAGTAAGACAGTCGACAAAATAAAAGCAAAATAAAAACATTACGGAATGTCTATGGGTAAGGTACAAATGCCAGAAGTGCCCTGTTACATTTCGTCTCATCTCATCCTTTAGGTTTTTACAGCAGCACCGCGCCACGCTGCCATGGTGACATGACAGGATCTCCATGGAAACACTGTGGCTGTATCCTGAAGCACCTTGATCGGTAAATAAGGTCTTCCCCCAAACCTCAACAGGCTTAATGAGTGTGTGAGTGGATATGTGTGTGTGTCACTGTGGTAGGAGTCAGTATCCGACGTTGAGCTTGTTCTTGTTGAGCTCTCTCTCCAGGTTTCCTATCAGAGTGTCGATGCTCTCCTGCAGGTCTCTCAGGTTGACCCTGTTGCTCAGCACGGGGCTGATGTCCTGGATCTTCATGTACGCCTGGTAGGTGTGCTCTTTGGGCAGACAGGGGGGTAGGATGTGGTCGCACACCCTCTCCTCCTCCTTGTCCTCTAATGCCTGCCCATTTCCTGAACTATCACTCTCTACAATGTTCTCCTCCTCTTCTTCCTCCTTTTCCTCCTCCTCCACCACCTCCTCTCTCTGAGCTTGCTCTGGCTCAGCAGGATCAGACGCGGGGCTTGTGACCTTCTGCCCTTCATCTTCCTCTGCGTCATCAGGCTTCTCCTGCCCCTCCTCAACTGCCTCTGTATCCTCTGAAGGCACGTCATCATAGTCCGCCTCCTCTTTGCTGGGAGGCAGCAGAATTTCAGAAGGGAAGTAGCTCTCGCCGCAGCCGCTCCAGTCGCCGGCGTAGCGGTTGCTTGGGCTGTCCAGGCGACCCGGTCTGGGCCGCAGAACACCCGCCATCTCCGCTTCAGAGAGGTTCAGGACCTGGGGGCGCTCTTTTCTCCGCCGTAATGGTGGAGCTGACAGCAGGTCAGATGAGGCCGGGGCCAAAGAGGCTGCATGGTACTGTGAGGAGGAGTGGCCATTTAGGTCTACAACTGGAGGAGCAGACAGGAAGAGAGAAACAAAGAGAGTTAATTCAAAGGTATATACAGGCTATCTGAAGTAATAGCCTAAGTAATGGTTCGACATTTTGGGAAATATGCTAATTTTTGATTTCTTGAGTTAGATGAAAAGATCGATATCACTCTCACGCCTGTATGGTCAATGTGTAGCTACAGCCAGCTGTTGCTTAGCTTGTCTTAGCATAAAGACCAGAGGACCAGAGGTGCAATTAGGCGGAACATTTCCCAAAATGAATAAATGTTTCCTTAAAGGGTTAATTCAACTAAATTACAAAAGAAAACAAACACACATTTTCTCATACACCCCTAGTTGTATCTAGCCATGCAGATATTTTCAATTTTATTCGCCCAAGTTTTGAGATTTCTGACATCACCCCAATTTTCAAACGGCAATTTTTTTGGTTGAAAGCAGTTCTAATGAAAAGTGTTAATAGTGAGGACACAGTGAGTATTGTTTATGAACAGTCACACTGCTTCGGAAGTTTTGTTAAATGTAATTTTTTAGTGTTTCAACTGCCACAAACAAAATTCCAAAAATCTCGAAACATTGGCACAAAAACTGGCACTATCTGCACAGCTAGATACCAATGAAAGTGGTAACTTCATGGTCGTGCCTTGAAAACACAACTAACTCCTACCGTATAAAAATCCACAGGTTTATCTGAATTGACCTCTATCAGGGGAACAAACATATCTGGATAAGCCTAGCAATGAGTTCATAACTTGTGGGAGCCCTGGGGTTTTTGGCACACGCCCTGCCAAAATAATCCAAACATGAACATGCCATGCTGTGCTCAAACTCAGACAAACACATGCTGAAGCCACACCACCACACTCTGTGACTTTGATGCCATCTTTCTGTACTATTTGTTATCAACTGTTGACTAAACCAAACTTAAAAATTAACTAAACTGAAACCCTGTTTGGACATTATGAAACTCATCTGACTGTGCTACAAAAAGGAACAGTGAGCACTCCAACACAACCAGCACAGTCCGGTTACCTGTCTGCTTTTATCTGTGTGTACCTACACTTGTTGACACCGCTAGCTCTCCCTTACTGGATTGGAAAGGAAAAAAAACAACAAAAAGGTGTTAAAAGTTTGGGCTATAAATCAAGTACAGCACATGAGGCACAATATAAAGCTTTATTTTGTCTACAGGCTTATGAAAGAGGACCTGGCAAGCTAATATCCTTACATGCCTTAAAACAAAAATAATGTTGAATTATGAACCATGTTGACTCCATTTCATTCATCAGGAGCTGCAGTCGCTGATACAGTATTTATGAACAGCCGTTGCATGCCTTGCAACTCTCCTGAGGCTAAAGACTCAAGCAATTATCACCTAAAACAAACAGAAATTATCCTCCTTTAAGAGGCAACGTGTTATTTAATTTCAGACATGATTCACTGATGACATGATTAAAGTTATTAGCTGTCATTGAGGCAGGAAGCAGACAAAAATGCTGCACTGTGTGTTACAATAGGCAAAATAGGCAAATACGGTGCTGATTTTCTTAACAACAAAGTTCCGCTGGTGGATTTAAAAGAGTTATCCCTGCACAGGAGCACAATAACAAGATACAAACAAATGACACACACACACACACACCACATTCCCCTCTTCTTCCTGTCATTCTGCCTGTCTAACCATCATCTCACATCCACTCACACATATAGTTGGCAGACTGCATAATTCACACTACACCTCCTCAGCCTCTTCAACGCACACGTATGCTCATGCTCTCCCACACCTCCTGTAAAAAAGTATCAGCAGTGTCTGATGTCCTTGCACTTGCCCAAAGACATGCACACTTAGAGACCTGCACAACAGTGCCTCGGAGGGGCTGGGTATGTGTGTGAGAGGTGTGAAGAGGCGGCTGAAAATATCCCATAATGATTGTGAAATGTTAGGGTGAAGCTTCAGGGGCTGAGAGCTAAGGTTAAGCCTGGAATGTCCTTAATTACAGTCCAGGCGTTCTCTGAGCTGGGGAGGCGGGCAGAATGGAGATGTCACTGAGGGTGTAAACAAAAGCTTGAACCTGGACTGAAAGCTTTGTCAAGGTTATTACAGGCCATTAGGCACTAGCCGGGTGACATCAGCTGCAGACACGAGTGCAGGCTCTGCTGAAGATTGAAACCTATTTTCTTCAGACCACTTGACCCCGTCGCCCTCCGTCATTGTCTGCATGTATGCTCTAACCTATCTTTGCACTTTTTTTGTTTATCTTTTGAAATTCCACTCGTACTTCGCCAGGCTACCTGCAATTATGGGATTCACAAATGCTGACTTATTCAGTGGCTGCACTTAAGTTTCCCTCTCTGCGTGTTTCCTCCCCGGTTGATGTAAAGGAGGGTGGAGGGTTCTCGACTTCAGCGGTTTTTACGCCAAATTGGCTCAATGTGGGAGTCTGAGGATGCAGTTAAATTTAGAGGCCAGACCAGACACAGAGTCAGTTCTTCTTCAGACATCAATCAGCAGATCTGGATAAAGCGGCAGGTTACTAGGAAGGGCTCAGAGGATTTAAATCTTTCAGGGATACAGTCTGTCCAGTGTGATTTTAGGAACACTTATAGAACATGAATTTTGAGAAATGTGTGCCTTAGGATACACTGAAACTACGAGACAGGATGTAAAAGAAAATCACTGCAATGTAAAAAACAGCTTTCTTTAATTTTGGACTGATGACCGTGCATATTTAAAATTGTATAATGGATTTTTAAACAGACTCAAAACCTCAGTTTTTATGAAAATGTTACTAACCCACAGAGGAAACTGAGGTTGGAAAAGGCAAACTGCCAACTACTACAGCAATAAGGTTATGTGCTAATGGCAGTAATGGATTTTCACCCTGTCTTATCTTTTCAAATCTGCGTGTAGGCAGAGCACACAGTTTTTTTTTAATGTCTTGTTTAACTTTCTACAGTAGCTGAGACTTTAACTGCACGACAGCAGCCGCCGAATTGCTCACACATTGATAAGAGAACTTAAAAGTAAAAAAAAGAAACATCTGAGGCTAAAAATAAACAAATTAGTTTCTGTGACCAATACAAATTTTACTCCGCCTGCAGCTCCATTTTATTACTCTCGGCTCTCTCCTGAATAATATTTGGGTCCCTTCATATCTCACACTGAGCAGACAGCTGCAGCTGGCAGAGAGCAGCTGTGCAGACAGACAGATGACCTGTTCTGAGTGAAGCGGGTACTGGGTATCTGTCTGGTATCTGTCCTTGGTTGGTGATTTATCTTAAGACAGGGGGCACGCCTCAAAAGTTTGGTTTATGTTGGGGCTTACTGGCTTGGCTCTGATTGGCTCAGTCTGCCACGATGAAGCACTCTGTGGAGAGTTTCATCTCTGGGCAGCCAACAGATGGTGGCCAATGGCTATCAGAGCTGTACTTATGCCAGTGGTGCATAACCCCAAGGATCAAAGCAGCCCAGCCCTTTAACAGTCCTTTGTAGGGCTGAACCGCAGAGCTGGCACTGATTTGTACAAGACCCTAAAGGCTGGTTTATACACGCTTACTGACATATATTACCTGGTTGTAAAAAAGAATGGATTTCAAACCAAAAAACCTGGTAGAACTGTATTTAACATGGCAAAATATTGTCTAAGAATAGCATGTATTCAATAAGTAAAAGAAAACTCACCTGGCCAGAGCTGGAGCAGGTAGTGCAGGACTTCGATGTGTTTTTTGAAGTGCAGCGCGCTGGCCAGCTCCTCGGAGTCGATGAAGACTCGGTTGGTGTGGCAGGACGCTTCCTGACGCTGGCTGAGCAGCACCGGGCCGAAACATACCGCCAGGTTCTGACACGTCATCTTGTTCACTTCCTGGTAGGACGCTACCAACTTTAGGTGATCCAGAAGCCTCCGCAGTGTCATCTGTTGTATGTGCACACACACAGACACACACACACACACACACAGTGTGCAAACACGGACAAATAAGACATGTTATTATTATGATTAGTAGTTGTAGTAGTACCACTGGCAGCAGCAGAGCTACACTGCAAAATCTACTTCATTAGGTTATTTGTAGCAGTAAAAAGCTATATTTCTTGTAAGAAATGAAGAAAAATGATACTTTTAGCAAAAAGGCAATATTTTAAGTTAATGTTACAGTACATTACATACACAACCTTTCCTACACGTCTTGCTGTAATGCCCAATAGTTGTGATAATAATATTAAATAGCAGGCATATCATCATGGATTGCATTAAGTTTAGAGTTCCCTGGGCATGCTCTGTCTAGCTCTCTCACTGGCTGCCAGGGGGAAAGCGAGGGAACAAAATAGGAGTTCGGAAAGAGAATCCCAATGTGACGTTTTAAGGGCTCCGTAGGATTCCAGAAATTTTACAACATAGGAAATAATTATTTTTTTGCTTGGAAAATTTGAACAGAACCGAAATTATTATTCCTACAGGGAAAAATGGGCAAGATTTTTAAAACTCAAATTTCCCCAGATGGAGTAACCTTACGCAGAATTACATTTGTCATGGCTGTAGCTGGGAAACACGGTGTCATGAGTCTGTCACTTGGAGCTACTTTTTACGGCCTTTATCCTCTTTTGTTTTTGTAATAGTTGGACCAATAAATTGCAATAAATTGCAGCTCTCAAAAGATATTTTTGAGGTAGTTAAGAAACAGTATCACCGTTACACACTTTATCCTCCAGAGCGCACCAACAGGTTTACTTTTCAACTGTAAAATGTTCCACTCATTACATATAACGGTCACAATGGGATCCAAAAATACTTGTTCATGCTATTGCTGCGTTATGTATATAGAGAACACTGGCTAATATTTTATTGCAGTTAAACTGTTAAAACTGCCTCATGAATTAAGTATCAGTCAGACTTTATCAGTTTTCATCTATCCTTAACCTGAAAATAGTTAAATTAATTAAAAGGTGTAGAGAAAATTACACCGGTACAGGCTTGTGGACTGAATGCCACCACTAATATCACCCAATGTAAAAGCCTACGTAATAGTTAAACAGTAGTGATCTGTAGCATTATCGTCATGACCATCATTATGTTTGCCACAATTATCCCTTTCACAACCACTTCTGTGACAATATTCCAGCACTATGATGACTGTGAGAGGCTGAAGGGAATGTCTTCCTCACCCTCTCCACCTCTGGCAGGATGTCCAGCAGGCTGACGGTGTGCTCAGAGTCGGCCTGGTCGTTCTCGCAGCCCGCCGCTCCTATCCGCAGAGGCCTCATGGCCATGGACTCCAATACTGCCTCATAGAGGTTCTTGGTGATCAGAGGGTAGGGCAGCTCTCGCAGGTAATCCTTCAGTACTCCTGAAAAGTGAGACAGAAAGAGAATAGAGGATGAGAAAAACGGCTGCATTAAGATAATGACAGTGAGTTAATTTGAACCCTGCAAACGAGTTCTTTGCAGCATAGCTGAGGGTCATTCAGTTTTCCCACACTTGAACTGAGAAATACTTCTTGTCCTCGACATAAGCAGCTTTAATACCTGACAAATCACTAACAATATATCTTTATGAAGTGTTGTCATTGAGAAATAAAAAGCTTTTATTTCCCCTCTCTTTTAAAACGACTGAACCTGGCACACTCTCTTGGCTGCAAATTGAGGTCCCATTGTTTCCACGGGTGATCCTGTGGCGTCTGCTGAGATGCCTGATTGGAGTCGGGCGTGACTTGGCAGCCAGAAGTGTTGGGGGGCCGGGTGTCTTTGACGGCGTATTCACACCTGTGACTTCTGCCTCCCGCAGCTACGGGAAAACGCGAAACCCACGCTGTCTGTCTCCACTAAGCCCCTGAACTATCGCTGGCATTTCTTTTCATCAAAGGCGGAGGGGAGAAAAAAAGAATAAATACGGGAATAAGAAAGGCTCTTGGCAGTGTGACAACCCTTTGTGGTGAGTGTCTGCTCTTTTTTCACTCTGCATGAAGCTGGATCAGTTTTCAGAGACAGCTGGAGGCTGTGTAATCAGCAATATTGGTAATGCCCCAAACTAATACACACTGAATGTAACAAGAATATAATCTTATATGACTAACTGTAATGATCAAATGGTGACCAAATAAAAAGAATAAATAACACAGAATCAAAGATATTGACTTTTTATTCCATGATTCTTCACAAAATCTGCAGCCTACATTACCCACAATACAACTGCTGAGAGCTCAGTCAGAGATGCAGGTGTGCTAAACTGGTAGTAGCTAATGCAGCCCCAAGCAGAGATGAGGAGTGGGCTACTGAGGTCTGCTGAGCTCACTTCTTTCTAACTCCACACTATGTACAATACACTATATGAAGTTTTTTCACATCTGCAGTCAGGACACTCACGTCAAGATTTTATTCATTTATTGCGCCAATATGCATTTTATTTTGGCGGTGTGGCATGTGTCATGTGATGCTCTGGAACAAATCTGAGCAAGCTTGACACAGGCTGTGCCTGAGCTATATAGAGATATAGAGATATACAACATTTAATGAACATGAACACATGTCAAACAATCAAAATTCACAGTACATTTCTGAAAGCAGGCAGCAGTGTAGCAGCATGGATGCAGTGTTGTTCTACACCGACTGAATGAGTGCCAAATGTTAGAGGTATAGTTCGTGGACATGTGTGATCGGAACATGTGACTATAGAACAACTTCCGTGCCTGTCTGAACTACCACACGCTCCATTAGTACTCCCCAACATCTGTAAACAGACTTGTGTAAATTCAGGGGAGATGGGGGTTTGACAGACTTAACATCCGACAATTTACAACAGAAAATGAGCTACAAATGGAAAGACGCCCACACGCTAGGGATGGGAATCGGAATCGTATGAGCTTATCAGTTCCTATTATCAATGCCAGCATGTTCTGACAGTTGCGCATAACAAAACAGTGAGGTCAAACTGATGGTCTATGCTGATGGAAACTTGTGGCAAGAAGGAGTCATGGCAGAGTGGAAGAAACAAGTCCAAAGCTTGGCTTCATTTCACTCTTATTCTACTCTGTGTTTAGACTGTGTAAGCCTACTTTCTTCCACACATAAAATGTAATCAATAAGGCAATCAACAAAGAATTGGACCAATGAACACAACTGATAACGGCATTGGTATCAATAAAATGCTATCAATTCCCATCCTTACCGTGAGCCAGTTTAAGCAATCAAATGTGAAATACTTTACTCAACATATATCAGCACAGCCACACTGAATCAATATTTGCACACTGCACCGTATAGCTGCACTGCTCGTTTGCAGACATTTACAAACTGCTGAAAGCTCTGCTGCCAAGAGTCCAATCACGTTGCTTCAAGATGGCTTGTTGAGGTATAGTCATTATGCCACAGCTGCGGGTGTTCTACAACTTTGTGTCACTTATCTTATCAGTTGTTAGGTTCAGACACGCACTTTGAGCCAGAATAAGAGATTTTCTGACCTTGCTGTCCACAGCTTTGGACCGTGGCGACTCTTCCCGAAAGGATTATTCTCCACTGAGATGCCAGAGATTATCGCTTTCCAACACAACGTGCCTGTGCTAACATGTTTATCGTATCATGTCTTGGCTCTGTTCAGGTTTTGTGTATTTGACACTTTAAATGTGCTGCTGAGGCTGTGCTTCTTTTCTTTTAAATTCTGTGCAGTATTTGCATTTCTCAGTTGTGGATTAAGTTCTTCAAGTGGTTGGGTTTATTTTTCTTCAGTTGTATTTTGTCACAAACATTACGCCTTACTTATGTTGTTGATTTATGCAGTGGTGAAATATGAATGTTTAGATTTTAGTATAATGTATAATGTTATAGGCTGAACAGGTCTTGTTGCATTGTGTTTGGGGTTTGGCTCACAACAAACTTGGATCACTGGTAGATGGTATGACGTATATTAGTTGATTTATACGCGTTTTTCTTCTGAACAGATAACTTTCTTTTCTATGGTTTGCAGTTCTAGGCTGAGCTGAGCTAACTGTTAACTAAGCTTATACCCATGTACTGGGTATGTTGATGATGATGATCGTCCTTTTATCTTAACATAGGTAATATAATAATTATCTATTGCATAGCTGACATGCCTTTAATACATTCATTTAAAAATGATAAGGTGAATAACTGGGTATATAGATTGAATATACAATGTTTGGAGGTGCCTCATATAGCAGCAAGTGTCAGAAAACTGTAACATGATGAATAAAAGGAAAATGACTTTGCACCACTAACCCTGTTTCTTTTTGTAGACATTTGCAATGAAGTGACACAATCCCCTGAGCTTTTGTAACTGATTCTGATTAGGTTACTATAAATAGGAGCTCCCACTTAATCACTTCTACATCTCTGGGTTATCTCCCATACACCCGAGGTGTTTTTCTTGCCTTCTATTTGCAGCAAACTACAATAACATTCACGGTAAATCCACTGACATCCCTTTAGGCCCAGTAAGGAGAATGGAGGGCACTACTTAACACGCTCACTTTTTAATCCCAGTAAGTCTCCACTCTGCTCTTTAAGAGAGCCTGAGGCTTAATGTTTTTCAGTCCGTTCCTTACTGGCATTGTGGGTCCATCACCCCATTCATCTCTGGAGAATCAAGTGGACAAACGCATGTTTAAAAATAAACCTTAAATTTCAGTGTGTTTATGTGATGACCCTTAAATTTCCTGTGTTCTTTTCCACCAGCTACAATGGTGTAAGAGCTTTTGAATATAGGATTAGAGAGTGAAAGAAGGGTGTAAATTCAGTTCAGTGTTACACTACAAAGTCTCAGATTAGCATTAAATTCAGTGTCTGCACACTCAACACTCATCCGGAGACCGATCTATTGTAAATATACCAACACCACAAAATATTTTACAGGTAAAAAAACCTGAAATTTTTGTCATTCATTTTTTCTTTTCATGTGTTAAAAGGGGTGACCTTTTTGCCACAGAACTCAATATCAATAAATCATCAATTTATCACAGGTAGTCAGGAGTCTTATTAGGATTTACTGTGCTTGATGCATTGTCCCATGCAATACCTGCTAAATGAATGATATCCCCACCAACTCTACCAGCTGTACTTTGCAATTAGTGCTAATTATCAAGTGCTAGCACGCTAAGGCGCTAAACTAAGATGGTGAACATGCTAATCATACCTGCTGCACATCAGCATGTTAGCACTGTTAGCATTTAGCACGAAGCACCGTTGTGGTAGGATGGTTGTAGAGTCTCGTTACTCCCTTTATGGTATTTTCTTTATCATTTCTATTATGCGCTGAATCTGTTTTCTGCAGCTGCCTTGCTGAACTGCTGCAGCTTGCACGCTTGAGGTGTCCACACAGAGAGCTGCTGCTGCCGCCAGCCCTATCGAGGTTTGCCTCTGATAAATACAATACAATAAAAGCCTTGTTACCCAAAGAATGGATTCTGTCCACAGAAACGCGAGAGAGCGTTTAATCTCAAACAGAGACAGGAGGTGTCGAGTTTAAAAAATGCATTTATATTTTTATCATCTGTGAGATATCTACAGATACAGACATTTAAACTGTGCTGAAAGGTATATATGTTGGTGTTATAATGTCGATATGACTATGAACAGACCCTTTTCAGTGCGCTAATCTGTTAACATGGGTGCCAAAATATAAAGCAAGACCTACCGCCACGCAGAAGCAGGCAGTGCTATAATGCTATGATATAATGCTATAATATGTGGAATTCCACTTTTTGATGATTATTCTATGCTGTGAATTTGTTACTACAAAAAGTCATACTCAAGAAAATGATAAATATTAAATAATCTACTGTTTGAGGCAGCTACCACCTTTACAGAAAAAAACAACTTTGTTAACGGTTCGGTTTGAAGCCCCTCCCCAGCTCTTTCCTCTGAACCCGAGATTCAACACGTCCTGACACACACACACACAGATACAGAGCGAGAGATACAGTGCATTCCTGAGGCAGTCACTGATGGTTCTGAAGAAAAACAACTCGTACCCAAACAAGCACGCTGGAGCACTATATCAGCCCTCCTGTCAGGTAGACCAGCACAGTGACAGCTGTAAGTCAGCAGGGTCAGACTTTAATACGGCTTCAGGCAAACACACTCTTAAAACTTCATAAAGTGTCCCTGCAATTAAACACGTCCCCCGCGCCTTGCGAGCATAGCTGATCTGTGCCGGCACGTTGGCATTTTGTTTTTAGTTCTGATTCAGGTTCTTCTGTAGTCATTTATCTTCATCGGGTTTGGTATGAAATCTGGTATGAGCAGAAAGTGATAAGGACACACAAACACAAGATACACTGACTCTCCGTAACGGTCCTCCGCACACGCTGATTTCTAAAACAGATTAGATGGAAAT